TTTTTTTTTTTTTGCTGTTCCCTTTCTATTTGTTCTAGTTGTGTAGGTAATGTTTGATTCTGTCCCTTATTTTTTGACATGTGCATCTATTGCTGTAAATTGACCTCTGATCAGTGCCTTTGCTGTGTCCCAAAGGTTTTGGTACGATATGTTTTCATTCTCATTTGATTATAGGAAGTTTTTGATTCCATCTTTGATTTCTTCTATTCGCCAGTGGTTCTTTAAGCAGGGTGTTATTTAGTTTCTATGTAATTAATTTTTTTTCCTTATTCTTCCTGTTGTTAATTTATACTTTGATGGCATTGTGATCAGAGAAGATACTTTGTATTATCTCAGTGTTTTGGATTGCTTTGTGGTCTTTTCTGGAGAACGTTCCATGTGTGTTGGATAAGAATGTGTACTTTGCAGCTATTGGGTGGAGCATCCTATATATGTCTATGAGTTCAAGTTGGCTGACTGTGGCCTTTAGATCTTCTGTATCTTTGTTGAGTTTCTTTCTAGACATTCTGTCCTTTACTGAGAGTGGTGTGTTGAAGTCGCCTACTATTATGCCACTTGCAAGCTTTTAAGACCCTAGGCACTATGCAATGAACTAGGAGGTAGAACAGAAGCACTAAACATGTTATTAGACCAATTAACCGGGATGCCCCATGAAACCATGACCCTAAACCTCCAAACCAAGAACCAAATCCCACAAAGTGTTTTGTTGTACAAAAGTAACTTCAGCGGTTGCTCTTCACAATAGCGAAAAGGTGGAAACAACCTAAATGCCCATCAACAGATGAATGAATAAACAAAATGTAGTATATACCTACAATTGAGTAGTGTTCAGCCAGTAGGAGAAATGAAGTCTTGATATATCCTACAATATGGATGGAACTTGAAGACATTATGCTGAGTGAAGTAAGTCAATCACAAAAGGACAAACATTGTATGACCTCACTTACATAAAAAGACAAGAAAATATAAATGTATAGAGACCCCCCCCCCAAAAGATTGCTTTTTTCTGTGTATAAACCTTTTCCTGAGTTTTTATAATAGTGGTCTCATATAATATTTGTCCTTTTGTGATTGACTCAGCACAATGCCTTCCAGATTCATCCATTTGTGAGCTGTTTTGAGGCTTCTTCATTGTTCTTTATTGTTGTGTAGTATTCCTTTGTGTATATGTACCATAATTTGTTTATCCATTCATCTGTTGATGGGCAGTTAGGTTGTTTACATCATTTTTGCTATTGTTAATAATGGTGCAGTGAACATGGGTGTGCATATGTCTATTCGGGTGATGGCTCTTATTTCTCTAGGATATATTTCTAGGAGTGGGATTGCTGGATTGTATGGAATTTCTATTTCTAGCTTTTTAAGGAGGCCACTAGATCGGTTTCCATAGTGGTTGTACCATTTTACATTCCCACCAGCAATGCGTAAGAGTCCCAGTCTTTCTGCAACTTCTCCAACATTTGTTATTTTCTGCTTTTTGTGATTACTGCCAGTCATGTTGGGGAGATGGTATCTCATTGTAATTTTGATTTGCATTTCTCTAATGGCTAGTGGATGGTGTCCTGCTGGTACAGTTGTTAAGAGCTTGGCTGCTAACCAAAAGGTAAGCAGTTCGAATCCACCAGCCACTCCTTGGAAACCCTATGGGTCAGTTCTACTCTGTCATATACAGTCGCTATGAGTCAGAATCAAGTCTATTGCAATGGGTTTGGTTTTTTTTGGTTTTAACGGCTAGTAATTGTGAGCATTTCCTCACGCATTTGTTAGCCCCTGAATTTTTTTTTGGTGAAGGGTCCATATCCTTTCCCATTTTTTAATTGGATTATTTGTGTTTTTGTTGTTGAGGTGTTGAAATATTTTATAGATTAGACCCTTGTCAGGTTTGTCATAGCCAAAAATGTTTCCCAGGCTATAAGTTCTTGTTTTATTTGTTGTTGTTGTTGAACAATATACACAGAAAAACATATACCAGTTCAGCAGGTTCCACATGTACAGTTTAGTAACATTCTTCGAGTTGTGCAATTATTCTCATCCTCCTTTTCTGAGTTGTTCCTCTTCGCTTAATAGAAGCTCACTACATCCTTAGCAGATTATCCAGTAGGCAAGGTAAGGAGAGTGCTTACCTTGCTCACCAGATCATGTGTAGTGAACGATTTCACATGGTTTTCATCACATCGTGCTTACCTTACCTATTCGGTAATCCGCACCTGCCCCTTAGAGTTGCTGTTGTCAGTTTGATCCCTTAAAAGAGCATAATGCTCAAGGCAGACATCCTTTACTAACTAAACTAAAATACTGTTTGGTGTTAAGAAGACTTCAGGGGATATTTTTGGTTTAAAGTTTAAAGATTATTTCAGGGGTATAGTTTTAAGGGTTCATCCAGCCTCCATGGCTCCAGACAGTCTGGAGTCCATGAGAATTTGAAATACTTTTCTGCATAGATTACTTTGTTTTATTTTTGGCATAATACCTACGACTGATTCAAAAGTTCATATTCATTTGCTTAGTTGTTTAATGTCTCCCCACAGTTGAATGCAAACTCCTAGAGGATATTTTTCAGATTTAAGTGCCAAATCCCCATTGCCTGGTACATGGTAGTTGCTCAATGTATGTTTGCTGAATGAAGTAATGGGGCTTGGTGCAAAGTCAACGTTTGGCAAATGCCTCTTTCACAGACTGGAGAACAGAAAAGCTGGGAGGCAAGATGCTGGGGTCCCAGTGCAGCTCTAGGCCTGGGTGCTGCAAGCCCAGCGATCACGTGGGCCCGGCGCCCCCCGCACTAGGGGCGCGGCGGGGGCATGGTGGAGGCGGGGCCGCCCACCCGGAACTTCAGAGTCTCGGTGGCGGCGGTTTCCGGTCGCAGCGGACGCTTCCTGGGGAGGGACTGTCCCGTGGCACCTGGCAGGACAGAGGAAGACGCGGAGAGCTGCGAGCGCGTGCGATGGATAACCACGGCCTGGAGGAGTTCCGCCGGCGCTGGCAGGAGGAGCTGGCACAGGCCCAGGCGCTGAAGAAGCGGCGGCGGCCCGAGAATGCCGAGCGGCGGCCGCGCCGGCCCGAGTTAGTCCCCGGGCGCGGCGAGCAGGCCTCGGGGTACCTGGCACTGGCCCAGGGCCTTCTGGAGGGCGCGGGGCGACCCCCGGCAGCGCGGGCCACCCGGGCTGAGAGGCAGGACGCGGCGAGTCGTTCTCGCTCCCCTCAGGCCCGCGAGGACACCGGGGGAGGAGACCAGCTGGTGGACCAGCTCATCCGCGACCTGGTGAGTGACCGTCGCCTCCTGCCGAAGCCTGGGCTGGCCCCCATTCCTGGGACAAATCCCTCAATGAGTTGGAAAGTAACTCTGTGTGTGTTGTCAATTATGGAACAAAATGAGTAGGAGTACGTGCACGTTTATGCACGCATAAGGTATACTGGAAACAGTGATTCTTTACCGGGGGTGATTTTGTCCACCAGATTTGGCAGTGTCTGGAGCCCTGGTAGTGCAGTGGTTAAGAGCTCGGCTGTTGTCCAAAAGGTTGGTGGTTCGAATCCACTAGCCACTTCTTGGAAGCCCTATGGGGCGGTTCTCCTCTGTCTTACAGGGTCACAATGAGTCGGAATCGACTCGACTGCAATGGGTTTTTGATTTGGAGACAGTTTTGGTTGTTACAGCTGTTCCGGGGGAGCAGGGGAGGAGATGCTGCTGAATATCCTACAATGCACAGGACAGCTCCCCAGGACAAAAAATTATCCGGCCCCAAATGTTAGTTGGTCTGAAGTTGAGAAACCCTAAGCTTGAAGGATACCCAAACTATTAACAACTTTTGCCATTGGGAAGGAGACCAAGAACAAGGATGGGAAGGAATGTTAACTTTTCTTTGTATAGTGTTTGTACTATTTAACTTTTCCTGACTATATCCATTAAAAAAAAATAAGGAGAATCCCTTGGACGCTGTCATTAGGATGAGGGTTCTTTTTTTTTAGTGGGACATTGAGCCCTTGGAGAATCTGGAGGAAGCTAGGGACCCTATTCCATAAAAAAAATGACATGCACGTGTTGGGAGGATCAAGATCCCATGAAACACATGCATGGATTTCAGGTTAGAAGTCAGGAAGAGACAGCAGGTTTAACTTAAATCAGGCCTCTATAGCTTGCCTGAACCAAGCCAAATCCACTGAACGTTGAGTTGATTCTGACTCATAGACACCCTATAGGACAAAGTAGAACGGCCTCATAGGTTTTTCAAGGCTGTAAATCTTCACGGAAGCAGACTGCTACATATTTCTCCTCCAGAGCAGCTGGTAGGTTTGAACGGGTGACTTTTTGATTAGCAGCCAAGTGCTTTTAACCACTGTGCTACCAGATCTCCTCGATATAAAGTAGTAATAATTTTTTTTTTAAATTTTGGTGAAAATATACCCACCAAAACATTTGTCAGCACAACAACTTTCAATTTACAATTCAGTGATGTTGATTACATTTTTCATGTTGTGTCACCATTCTCGCTATCCTTTTCCAAAATATTCTACCAACATTAACACAAACCCAGTTCTCCCCAAACAAAAACTCCCCCTTTTCCCCTGCCTCCCATCCTTGTAACCACTAATAATCTCTGGTGTCTGTATATTTGCTTATCTCACGTAAGTGAGATCATACGATATTTGTACTTTTGCGACTGACTTATTACACTAGGCATCATGTTTTCACGGTTTCATCCACGTTGTGGCATGCATCAGAAATTTATTTCTCTTTACAGCTGTGTGATATTCCATTATATATATATATATATATATATATATATATGCCGCATTTTGTTTTTCCATTTATCTGCTGCTGATGGATGTTTCGGTTGTTTCACAATTTAGCTATTGTGAAAAATGCTGCAGAGAATGTTGATGTACAGGTTTCTGTTTGTGTTCCACACTTCATGTCTTCTGGCTATATACTTAGGATTGAGATTGCTGGGTCATGTGGTAGTTGTTTTGTTTTTGAACATTTTATTGTGGTTTGGGTGAAGGTTTACAGAGCAAGTTCGTTTCGCATTCAACAGTTTCTACACATTTTGTTTCATGACATTAGTTGCAATCCCATCAGTGTGACAGCACTCTACCTCCTTCTTTCCTGAGTTCACTGTTTCCATTTGCCCGTCTTCCCTGCCCCTTCCTGCCTTCTGAACTTCGTTTTTGGGCAAATGCTGTCCTTTTGGTCTTGTATGGTTGATGGTTCTGAGGAGCACATGTTCCTCATGGGTGTTATTGTTTACTTGGTAGGCCTGTCTATTGTTTGGCTGAAAGGTGATCTCCTGGAGTGTGTTCTGTTCCAGGTTTGAAGGGTGTCTAAGGGCCATAGTCTCGGGGGTTACACTAGTCTTTATCAGACCAGTATGTCGGGTCTTTTTTATGAATTTGAATTTTGTTCTACATTTTTCTTCCACTCTGTCCAGGACCTTCTATTATGATCCCAATCAGAGCAGCTGGTAGTGGTAGCTGGGCACCACCCAGCTCTTCTGATCTCAGGCTAGTGGAGGCTGTGGTTCATGTGGTCCATTAGTCCCTTGGACTAATTGTTTCCTTGAGTCTTTGATTTTATTCACCTTTCTTTGCTCTGTACAGGAAGAGACCAGTAGTTGTATCTTAGATGGTCGCTGGCAAGCTTTTAAGACCCCAGACATTACTCACCAAGGTAGAATGTAGAACATTTTCTTTATGGACTGTGTTATGTCAGTTGACCTAGATGTCCCCCAAGTCTATGGTCTAAGCCCTCAAGCCCAGTGACGTAGTACCTCAAGGTGTTTGGTTATGGCTAAGAAGTTTTCCTTCCAGGTGTCTGTCAGTTTGTCATACTGTGGGGGCTTGCGTGTTGCTGTGATGCTGTAAGCTATGCCTCCGATATTCAAATACCAGCAGAGTCACCCATGGTGGACAGGTTTCAGCGGAGCTTCCAGTCTAAGACAGACTAGGAAGAAGGACCTGGCAGTCTACTTCTGAAAAAAATTAGCCAGTGAAAACCTTATGAATAGCAGCGGAACATTGTCTGATATAGTGACAGAAGATGAGCCCCTCAGGTTGGAAGGCACTCAGAAGATAAGCCCCTTAGGTTGGAAGGCGCTCAGAAGATGAGCCCCTCAGGTTGGAAGGCACTCAAAATATGTCTGGGGAAAAGCTACATCCTCAAAGTAGAGTCGACCTTAATGATGTGGATGGAGTCAAGCTTTCGGTACCTTCATTTGCTGATGTGGCTTGACTCAAAATGATAAGAAACAGCTGCAAACATCCATTAATAATTGGAACATGGCATATACGAAGTATGAATCCAGGAAAATTAGAAGTGGTCAGAAATGAAATGGAATGTGTAAACATTGATATCCTAGGCATTAGTGAGCTGAAATGGACTGGTATTGGCCATTTTGACTTGGACGATCACGTGGTCTACTATGCCGAGAATGACAACTTGAAGAGGAATGGCGTTACATTCATCCTCAAAAAGGACATTTCAAGATCTATGCTGAAGTACAACGCCGTCAGTGATAACACCCGTGCACCTACAAGGAAGACCAGTTAATACAACTATTATTCAAATTTATGCACCAACCACTAAGGCCAAAGATGAAGAAATTGAAAATTTTTACCAACTTCTGCAGTCTGAAATTGATCAAGCATGCAATCAGGATGCATTGATAATTACTGATGATTGGAATGCAAAAGTTGGAAACGAAGGAGGATAGGTATTTGGAAAATGTAGCCTTGTGACAGAAACAATGCGGGAGATCGCATGATAGAATTTTGCAAGACCAACGACTTCTTCATTGCAAATACATTTTTTCAATAACATAAACAGAGATTATATGCATGGAACTCACTGAATGGAGTACACAGGAATCAAGTCAACTACATCTGTGGAAAGAAAGGATGGAAAAGCTCAATATCATCCGTCAGAACAAGGCCGGGGGCTGACAGCAGAGCAGACCATCAGTTGCTCATATGCGGGTTCAAGTTGAAGCTGAAGAAAATTAGAACAAGCCCAACAGAGCCAAAGTATGACCTCGAGTATATCCCACCTGAATTTAGAGACCATCTCAAGAATAGATTTGATGCATTGAACACTAATGACCGAAGACCAGATGAGTTGTGGAATGGCATCAGAGACATCGTACAAGAAGAAAGCAAGAGGTCATGAAAAAGACAGGAAAGAAAGAAAAGACCTAAATGAATGTCAGCATCAAGGAAACTCTGTAACTTGCTCTTGAGTGTTGGGTAGCTAAAGCTAACGAAAGAAATGATGAAGTAAAAGAACTAAACAGAAGATTTCAAAGGGTGGCTCGAGAAGACAAAGTGTAGTATTATAATGACATGTGCAAAGACCTGGAGTTAGAAAACGAAAAGAGAAGAACATACTTAGTGTTTCTCAAGCTAAAAAACTGAAGAAAAAATTCAAGCCTCAAGTTGCAATATTGAAGGATTCTACAGGCAAAATATTAAGTGATGCCAGAAACATCAAAAGAAGATGGAAGGAATACACAGAGCTTCTGTACCGAAAATAATTGGTTGATGTTCAGCCCTTTCAGGAGGTAGCATGTGATCAAGAACCAGTGGTACTGAAGGAAGAAGTCCAAGCTGCACCGAAGGCACTGGTGAAAAACAAGGCTTCTGGAATTGATGGAATACCAACAGAGATGTTTCAACAAATGGATGCAGTGCTGGAGGTGCTCACTCGTCTATACCAAGAAATTTGGAAGACGGCTCCCTGGCCAACTGACTGGAAGAGGTCCATATTTATGCCCACTGCAGAGAAAGGTGATCCAACAGAATGTGGAAATTATCGAACAATATCAGTATCACATGCAAGTAAAATTTCGCTGAAGATCATTCAAAAGCAGTTGCAACAGTACGTCTATAGGAAACTGCCAGAAATTCAAGCTGGATTCAGAAGAGATCGTGGAACCGGGGATATCATTTCTGATGTCAGATGGATCCTGGCTAAAAGCAAAGAATACCAGAAAGGTGTTTACCTGTGTTTTATTGCAAAGGCAATTGACTGTGTGGCTCCTAACAAATTATCGATAACATTGCGAAGAATGGGAATTCCAGAACACTTAATTGTGCTCAGGAAGAACCTGTACATAGATCAAGAGGCAGTTTGTTCGAACAGAACAAGGGGGTACTGCTTGGTTTAAACTCAGGAAAGGTGTGCCTCAGGGTTGTATCCTTTCACCATACATATTCAATTTGTATGCTGAGCAGAAAATCCAAGAAGCTGGTCTATATGAAGAAGAACGGGGC